GTTTGCTGCTGTCTGTTTGGACCTTTCTGAACATGTGCAGCAAATGGACTGATCCAATATGGCGGACACTGGCAGTTTTATGGGCCATCGGCAACTACCTATTATTGCCTAATGGACTGAAACAAATAATGCAAATGTTTTTGCAATTCACTTAATCATATTTAGTTACTTTAACCCAATTGTTTCATGTTAGCAGGGTAGGACATAATACAATTGTGTTAAAGTAACTAAATATTTTAAAGTAAATGCCATAAGCGGTTGCATTCGTTTTTCAGTGTAAATCCCCCCCTGGTCAGAACTACCTTTATAAAAACAAAAACCATATGAATCTAAATCTTTAAGGTAATTTAGTGATGTTTGTAGTTTTGTTCTGCAGCTCTGTAGACCTAAAGTTCTCCTTGCCTCCAACCAAACCCTCAGAAATACACCTTTAAATCTGTAAAGGCCTCAAAGATAAGGAAAATAAAGGAATCAGAGATTACAGGCAGTCAAACAGACTGCGTACAAATGTCTTGCCTTTGAAATAAAACTTATATCTCTACATGTTCACGTTCTCATTCTTTTATGCTGGTATGAACAATGCAGGGAATAATTAGAATATCCTGAATCTTCACTGTTAGGCTACAACCAGGGGTGGACAGAACGCCGGGTGTTCTGGGCGGCGCCCGGTGGGCCGATCCAAGGCCGTCATATTCCACATGGAAGTGCAATGATAGGCAAGGTTTACAACTATTATTTCAAAACTGTTTTTAATTGAAACCTTTTTCTGAGCTGATGTTTTATATTTTCTATTGTTTGCTTTATTAATAAATATGTTAACAGATCTGCATGGATCTCCCATCGGACTCTGGATGTAAGCCAGACCGTATCTGTGCCACCAGAGAGAGGAAAGAGGAGCAAGAGGATGGCGGGATGCTCTGCTGGCCTTCAAATTGAATGTTAACGAGACATGCATCTACTAATTAGCGACGAGGAGAACATGAACGCCACCACAGGGGGGAGATGGGGCCAAGGAGAGGGCAGCACTACCAGGCATGTAATCACACTGCTGCTTCTCCACGAGCATGACAAGCGGGCAGCGTGCCAGCAGTGAATAACGAGGCCTGAGCGTGTAAACAAACATTCTGCACATGCTAACGGTGGAACAACCCGCACTCCTCCTTCTCCTCTTGACTCCTCGGCCTCTTCCAGCACCTCCTCTCCACACGTTGGTGTTTTCTGTTGCTGGAGCCTCTTCAGCCACGTTATGCAGGAGACGGGAGGATCCAGGAAGCGCTGACGGCCTGATGGCGGTATCTGCTTCACTCTGATTATCCGTACACTTTACCTCCACAGACAAGCTTCAACCAGAATATATTTATGATTTACTCTAAAGGTTTTCTACACACATTATGCAACTCTTTGCTTTCAGCATGAATATCATGATGTAGAAGGATATATAATTCAATATTCTGTTTAAGATGAGAACAATGGCTCTTCTAAATGTGACAAACACTACAAAAAAATCTAGAAAGAAAAAATAGAATTTTCCCTTAATTTGCAGGTAAATAAGATCATCTGCAAATGGAATATGGAGTCATTTTTCTCTTAAAATAAAATAAATAGAAAGTAAGCACTTTAAATAAGAGAATGCAATATTTTTTTTATTTTAAATGTAAATTGTCTTGTTCTCCTGGCAAAGTGTTTCACTTTCCTCCTCAATTCAAGGAAAAATGCACTTATTTTAAGAAAAAAGGACTTATTTAGATAAACATCTTTTGCAGTGAAGGGACAGTGTTTAACACATTTTGCTATTAAGATCAAGTCTTTCAGAAGTACATACTCAGCTAAAGTCTAAAACAATCATCAAAAACGGAATGTGGTCCATTCCCCGATGGAAGATGACACATTGATTACGGCAGCCCAAAGGGATCAAACTTATTAGTTGCATGTTTTAGCTGCATATGAAGATGTGCTGTCGGCTGAGATGAAACAAGCAAAGTGGACCGTAGATTGCTCTAGTAGCTGAATTCTGCTGAAATGGAGGAGGATTGATACTCGGAGAATAAAAAAACAAGTTATTAAAGGGGGAAAACAGAAAACTGAGGCTGGAGGATTTCCGCTCTACGGGCTTAATTAATTCAGTAAAGTTTATTTTGGCGGAAGGACAGGGTGCGTCTCTCTGCTGTTTTTAAGTTATAAAGCTCACCACTAGGTGGCGGTAAATTTGTGGCTTTAGAGCTAATTTTTCACAAAAGAAGAAGAAAAGACGGAGCCGTTTTCGTTAAACTACGTTAAAATGTGCTGACTTCATATTTTCCTAGAACAAACCAAATTCTTCCCTTTTTATTTTTACTGCAGAATGGAGAAGAATGTTTAAAGGTGATAACAGAGTTATATATTAATTTACTTATATGCTTTTATTAATCATGTTTCAGGGTTTTTAATAATAGGAAAGAGCTTTACCATTTTGGTTCTGCTTTTAGATGGCTAACAATTAATTACTGTTAAATGTTTTTTTTATACATAAATTAAGGGACAAAAGCAAGAAAACGGAGCAGTCTTGAGCTTAAACTCTTCAACCATACATTTCCTCTCATGTTGCTTATATTTAACATTTTTAAAATAACAATTTACAGACCAATCGTTCTAGCTTGAGTGCTACGCTGAATAAATGTTTAGCACCGGCTTTAGCTCCACCTTTAGCATCGCATTTAGCATCACCTTTAATGCGGCCTTTAGTTCCGCTTTTACTGCTGCCTTTAGCGGCTTCTGTAGTGCCACCTTTAATTCTGCCTTTAGTAGTGCCACCTTTAA